AAGGAGGTATTTTCAAAATCGTTACAAACTTAAATAGTTTTAATGTGAAGCTTACTAATAAGATTGGACAAATCCTTCAAAGTGTTGTATAGGAAGTCCGCTATCCGGTCCTCTCTCAATCGTCCACCTCTATCTACGATCATCAGCTTAACATGCAAGTTAATGAACACCCGTGGGCATACACTCACGCTGGCCGTGTACCGGAGGAGGGGGTGGCGACCCATCCCCCACCCCCGGCACCATCTCGACACGAAGTCTTAAGCCCGACTTACACAGCTCGCCTCTCATAAAATCGTTACCGATATATGGCTTTATAATATAAAGTTTTAAAGAACCTGCCCATCGTTTTTTAAAGAACAAAATAGTGACATGAAAAAAATATTGTGTGGTCAGTCTTACTGTTATGTTCTTAAAAAAAAACTTTAACTTAAGAAGGTTTTAGGTTTAACACTAATTTTTAATGACGCTGCTATTTCGGAGATTTTTGTTACAAAATAGTGCGTCGTTAGTTGCGGTACACATAAGCTACGGTTAAACATAGCATTAGTCCAAGACAACAAAGCCTTCCTACACTCAACCGCATCGGTTAAGACAACTCACACGGTACACTATCGAGACATTATTAATTAAAAGGAAGCTTACGAAGCCCGCACGTGTCCCCGGGCAATCGTCAGACAAAGAACGGACGGAATCACCCGGGGAGCGGGCGGCGGGGCGGGGGCACGGGTTCTATCGGTTAATCCGGTCTCGAAGGACCAAGTATCGATGAAACCTTCGATGGTAAAATGTACTGTTTATGCTTTTAATTATTCAAACATGTCTTAAGACGTTTGATAGAAAGCATTATAGATTTTCCAAACAAATTCATTATGGTATTGTCTTCGGGTGTGCAAATGGTGCATGTAGCAAGGACCCAAATTGACTTCATCATGTTTGTTAAGGTCAAAATTTCTAGGTTTAAAATGTAGTTATTTATATCAAAGGCATTTAATTCAAAACTCAATTTGATTATAAAGATGTATATAGTACAAGGAGTTAATAAATTTTCCCCCGACTACCTCCAGCTAATGAGTAAAACAGGCTCACTCCTACCATCCACACCAATTCGCAACGCCACGATAAATAAGCCGACAATCGGAACAAATGGACAGGAGGCGAATTAAAGCCGGTGTATTTCGATTCTCATATATTAGGCACATCGATCTCACACGTCTCGGTAAGAACGGAGAATGCTCGCAAGCACGCGATCGTCTTAAGTTCCCACACCCACTACCCCACCTCCTAACCCTACAAAACTACACAAACAATTGTTTTGCAGCCGAATTGCGATAGGATTAAGTTGAGATTTGATTGGACTCGAGTAAACACAACTGTTTGTGGCCGCTGTTACACCAACGTGTAACATCAATTTTAACATAGTATATTAGATTCAGATTTTTCCGGTCGAAACCCTTCTCTCCTAAATTCTATACCAATATGGTTTCGATCATCAAACTTCAATTTACTCAGTATCTTAAAAACATGTAAAATACTTCAATTGGAAATTAAAAAAACAAAATAAATACAATGCAATATTTCCTCTCTTCACTCATCAAACTGATGTATCGTATAATTTATTGCCGTCGAAAACATATGAATGAATTGAGATCCTCCTATTAAAAATGACGGTGTAACAGAGGGCCGCACTTAACACGGTACAACCAAAAACAAAACAATCCGACGCTCACCTCCTCGCGTCCGGTTGCTTCCAGTAAATTTACATCTGGGCCATGTATCCCGCAGGTCCGTGGGGTCGGCAATAAAGTGTTCTTAGCGGAGGAGAACGTCTTAACGCCCTCTAAGAGCGGCCAGCGATCACTTCTACATTGCGCTGACTGTCGACTATACTTAATGTACCAAACTTGTTCGTTATTAATGATTCTTGTTACCTTATCTAACATTTTGATAACTTTTATCACATAATTTCAATGAAACATTCTGTAGAAAGCCATAAGGGTGGAGTACCCATCTTATTTCTTACTAATCTTACTAATATTATAAATGCGAATGTTTAGATGTTCAACGAATCTCGCTGAAGTTTGCCATAGATGTAGAACATATACTGGAAGAACACAAGCTACTTATATTTTTTTTTAATTCGCCGCTGACGGAATCGCGAACGACAGCTAGTACGTGATAAAAAATAAAAAAAACAATTTTTGAAGGTGATGTTATACATTTAAAGAGAAATTATAAAAAAGTCAATTTCTCCAGACTGTTGTTAATTGCTGCTTCCAACTAAGAAGGCATAGTAAAGGGTTACGTCTGTTTGCTTATGCCGATGCTATCTTATAATAATGGCGAATGGCGATGTTTGCGCAGGATATCTGAAGGTGGGCGCGGCGTAAATTGGCTAACCGTTAACATTAAACTTTAAGTAAATTAGTTATTTACTATACTGTATCTGATCGACCCAACCTGGTTACAAGGAACATAAAGGTTACGGTTGTAAAGATGTTTACTGTCTTGTGTAAACTATCTACGTACTAATTATATTAAGCCTCTGAATTAATTAATAAATAAATAATATAAGGATCCCATTGATGTGTGAACAAGTTTTATTATTATTACGTCATTATTTAGTTGTCATAGCTCAAAGGAATATTTACCACAGATATAACTGGACTGGAAAGACAACTATCTAGGTTTTTTAACTTTTTAATGACACTTGACCACGTCGTAAAAAAGTGTCTTATGGGAAACACTTTTGACCGAAATTTGGGTTTTCTTTCAATGTCTAAGATTTAAAAGCAACTCGAGGTACAATTTAAGATATTAACTAAAACTTCTAAGATATTGTGGAGCTTTGAATTACCAAACGGGTGAACGTGGGCGCACCTAAAATCAGATTAACAATCGAGCCGGACAAAGGGCTATTTGGTCCGGCTACGCTACAGAGATATAAATTAACTAAAAGTGACTCATAATTTCTAACACCGTAATATGAGACACTAAAATCGATTTTGATTTATTGAATTATTATAACATTAATTAGATTTTCGATTCAAAAGCACACTTTAACAAAATTTTTAAAGATTAAAGAAAATGTAATTTAATATTATATAAAACATATACACTATACTAGTCGCGTCATTGTTTTCAGGTCAAATTACTACCCGAGGAATTGCGTCAAAAATATAAACATTCAAAACTGTGTCACATCCAGTTGCAATAGCGCGACGTTGAGTACATCTTGATTCGGTCAGTGGTCACTATAAATTGCCCTATGAGAAGTAGTGATTTAATCGGCTACCTCAGGGTCCCTCAGGAAACACATTAAATCGTATGGTCAGAGGATAATTAATTCCGCGGTCTCTGCAAGTGAGATTAATGGCGGCTGCTGGAGAGCATTTCCGATGACTATTGCCTACTTAAACTTGTTAATGATATTTAATGAATTTACGTTAAATTATAAAAAAGATTATCTTAAGAATATTTAAAAACTTTCATTTAAACCTTAGTAATATGACAAATGCGAAAATTTGGATGTATGGATGGATGGATGAATGTTTGTTAGAAGATATATAATAATTCAAAGGATCTCGCTGAAATTTGGCTCACATGTAGAAAATAGTCTCGAACAACACATAGGCTCTCACTAAGTGTTTTTATTGCCGCGTAAACGGAATCGTAGGTACCTAGTCTTAAATAATTTTTAAAATGCAATGATGAAGTGTCCGACTATCGTTACTTTTCGAATATATTTAATAATTTAACACGGTTCTCAAAACTTAACAAATGGTAACTGTAAATTCATTGTTGAGATTAAAGTCTATGTCAAAAAAAATTAAACACCATTTCGGATTTTTACAGACAATTAATTGTAAACTAAATTAACCGACCTTCAATAAACCTCTTTATGTAGCATCCACTGAACAAGAACATACCTATTAAATTATTAAAATTTCAAGTGAGCGACGGGCCGCATCCACGCAATAATACCAGTATCACTCATCCTGATGAAGGGCCCCCGATGGGCTCGAAACTAGTGGGTGCCGCCACCGGATGAATATACGTAAATGTTTATCCGTGTTTATATATCAGTTTAAGAACATACCTGAAACAAAAATAAATAGTCATCATCTCTAATTCTTTAAGTATTGAATTCATTTATAAGCAGTCAAAGCCAAAGACTTCATTTATAAGCAGTATATATAAAAAGAAAATACCTAAATCATTATATATTGTGCTCTTACAAGAATTACTAATAAAACAAAAAAAAGTATTCTGAAAACTATTTATTCACTCGGCTCATTGTCTCAATACCAATTATATATCAATTCAGAAGTTCAATTAATTAAATGTAAATACTTGTTAATAAATAAATACAGTCCAACCTGGATAAGCCAGAGTTCAAGGGACTGCAATATTTTTCTTGCTTATAGTTTTCTCTTACCCAAGTTTCTTGTTTACAGAGGTTGTCTGTCGGGAACAAAATGACTCGCTTTTGGTGTTTTCTCGCTTATCCAAGTTTGACTATATTTAGTTATTCGTGGTATTATTTCATGTTTGTATTTATAGGTATAGTGTGAGTGAAAAATTATAATTATGCCAAAAGTAATGTTAAGGTTTGTGGTTAAAATGCAGAACACTCAGTTAGCGGAATTTTGTTGCATTGTTACATTACATTTCAGATTTGTTTAATCCCCTATTATATGTAAATTGCGAGAAACAACTTAAGTTATTTAACTTTTTGCAAACCAAAAATTGGATCATTCAATAGCATTAAACACTTTATATTATAATTTTGGTATTTTCATATAAATGTTTCTATACGAGACTGATCTATTCCAAGGATACTGTTCCTATAGTACTATAGTCATTATTATTTGAATGTCAATAAAGTTGAATGACCAAATACAAAAAAAAACAATAACATGCGAAACATAACATAACCTATAAGTTGTCAATATTACTAGTAAAATGAACTCAAACAATGCTCATTACAAAAAACTGCTTACCTGGTACGGTGTGTTATCAGGATGTTCCTCCAAATGTTTTAGATTAAGACAAAACAGGCAATTCTCAAGAGAGTTCCAAATATAAAGAACATCATCTTTCAATTCTATAAAATTATACAACTTAGCACCTGTATTCTCCTGCAGGCTTTCTTTTATATCCTCGAACATTTTATGTTTTGGCAAAATAGTATCGTAAAGTTTTGTATCCATCGTTAAAATCGTTTCAATCTTACTTTGTTTTGAAAACTTCTGTTAGAGCGTTTGACAGATACTAATCGCGGTATTTTGCTTTCCGTTCCGTTTTACGATCACGATTCAATCAATGATTTTTTACTCAAAGTCAACAAGTTGCTTTTGTAAAGTAACTTATTTTAAAAAATATTTTGAACATTATCATGTTTTTGTTTCTATTTCATACTCTTAAAATTTTATTAAAGCCAATACTTAGTAGATTTTATATGGGCAAGCAATCACTGCATTGTTTTGGTTATAAATATAAAGGCCAAATACTGATTATGAACTGACCTGCCTCACTTCAGGTTGGCGATCTTCATCATCATTACCACCTAGATTGGACAGTCTTCTTCCATCTTTTTTACTTTACACTGACGTGTATTCTACCACGATTAAACTACTAACTTCGGCCAAAATACATGTATTTTGCATACGATTGAAGGTGGTGGTGATCATTTAAGATCGTTGTACAAATACAAATGTTAATTGTCCATTTACCTTTAAAAACATTGATATTGTTATATTAGAACATAAGAGTGTGACCAAATGTGATACAATACTTGAATAAACAAAACATTTGTGCCATAAAAACAACCGATTTGCGAACAAATAAACAGCTAGCCGGAATATTTTACGCGGGTAACGCAATATTTCTCCATGGCAACTAATTTATCATTGATATTCCTCGCGAGCAATTGACTAAGTACACCCGAATGGAAACATAGCGCCTCCCCCGGATAGGTGGAAACGGATTGTTAGATTGTCCGCTCCTGTGAGCTGTATATCACTTCGCTCAAAATGGTATCACGTAATTTCATCTCCCAAGGCCCCGCGCCTTGCTTTCTTATAAATAAAACAACATATAGGCGGCGATAAATTTTGCTTTTCGAGATCGCGAGGTGTATAATTTAAATCTGAGCTCGTTTTAACGTTGTTATCGAATGTAGTTAGCGATGAACAATTGTAAATCGTACGCCCCTGTTGTTGCCGAGTAATAGCCCTTGACGAAAACGAAAGCGGAGGAACTAGTAGTAGTCCACCAAATTCCAAACTATTTATCAGAATCAGAAGAGAAACAATTTCAACTTTAAATAATTAGGCGGCACTGTTAGACGTCAGTCAAACATCCCAACAAACCTACTATTAATTATGCTTAAATATTTTTATAGTAACGTAAGATTTTTGACATTGACTTGATAAATGAACTAGTGGTCGCTGGCGACTTTTTTTAGTGCAGAATTAAGAAAAGACGTCTAAAATATGGCAGCCTGCATCAGCTACCTTCTAGTCCAAGTCCCGTCTGTCTAGCCGTTCCGGAGATTATCCGCAGCAAACGCGGCCTTGCGGACAGACTGACGGACATAAATTATGAAAATGGTTTTGTCGTAATTACATATACTCAATTTTATCTTTATATATGTATATGACTATAGGTTTGTAGATACGAAAAAACTAAATATGCCATCCTAACTTTTCTTTCAACTACCGATTTGAATTTTGACAATGGCCACTTTCTAAATGGATAACGATATCAATGTTTAAAAAGTTTAAAATAAGTAAACACGTAGTAAACTTCAATATAAGAAACCAGTAAAGCATGAGCATCTAAGATCAATGTCAAAACATCGTAGCCTGAATAAAATATAAGGCGAGTCGAGTGCTCAGTTTTCGCGAAATAATGCTATTGATAAATTTAGCAGCGCGTCTCACATGATATTAGAGGGTGGCGATGTGCGCCCCCTCCCCCCCGGCACCCCGCTCTATTATTATGCCGGGCAGGTCGCGACAAGAATGACATAGGGTTGTCAACTATAAACATCTTGAAGAAAAGAAAAGGCTGGTTCCTACAGAACAGAATTTTAAGAATACTTCGTTTTTATAGTAAAAGGTGACAAACGAGCAAGCGGCCACCTTTATTAAGAAAGTGATCGCAGCCCATAGACATCTGCATTTGCAGATGCATCGCCTAAATTTATCATAAAAAGGATGGGACGTACAGAAAGAGAATATCCCTACCTATGATTCCCTTTTCGCTTTAATCCATGAAACATTCCCATGCTTGCCGCGTACGAGAAAGGAGAAGAGGACTAAAATTAGATGTCAGGAAATTCTTAGAAAGTTACTTCAATGTTTTTATTACGTAACAGTGTGCGATTACGTTGTGTGAGACAGCCCTGGATGGAACAAGCCGCTGGGACGGCGCCGATGACTTGTCATTAATAACGACAGCGGAAATGTATCAAAAGGTGACGCGTGTCCCTCCGACCTCGTCCTCCGTACTCCGTCTGTCTCCAGCCTTATTTATGATACAACAGAACAATATTTATTTGTGCTTATAGATCTTTATTCCGCGGGTATATTAGCGGTCGCCATATCTGTCCTTGTCCAGTCGGATATTTCATTTTGAAATATTGTTCTAACTGTTTATATGTTTCATAATGAGATGTTATTATAAATTTGGCTATTAATTAAAGTTAAGAAACCTATATTTTTTTAATCTTATTATATCGAAGAACATATAAGCTACTAATTAAGTTTTTTTTTTAATTTCGCTTGGATGTAGTCGCGGTCAACGTCTAGTAAAGCAAACTCGCCGGTGTATTTCTTTTGCTCCAGTATTATCATCGTTCTGTATTTGTCACGTATGTAATATGGGTATACAATTTACACAATATCGTCATAAGTCTTCACGTCAGATGTCCTCCCGAGACGGAGGCCCCAATTACCGTTGGAATTGTTTCAACGTGGCCCTATCTATTACTAACACGGTTGGGAATTGAGACGGCAATGTTAAAAATAGTTTCCGACGTCCCTAATGCAGTGTTTTCTAATTATAATGATTGATTTTGCCGTCGCGTGATTTGTTAATAATATGTTACATCGGTAATTTTGGGGATAAAAAACTTTCAATGCTTGGTGCCCGATGTTATTTATTCCTTGTGCATTTATTGTATCTTTTTCTGCAAGTATGTCTGCTTGGGATTAAAAAAATTATATTACTCAGTGACAATGTTTTCAAATAGCAAAAAAAATTAAAATCAATCCCGTAGTTTTTGAGTTCATTTGTTACATACAAAAATACAAATTTTTCGTCTTAATAAGTAAATAATTTGACATAAACTATTAAGCATAGGATTAGCCAACAGTAAACAGTAAGTTTTATTGTAAGTTATAATCTAAAAAGAAAAAAAAAACTTATACGTTAAAGACTTGACAAACTAGCTTGAAGACCCTACAACTCTATCATACGGTCATAAGGATTTCATGAAAACAAAGACATCATCCTTTAAACGACATGCGTTATAAATTCCTTTCACTGCCCCATTCAAATCCTCGTAACCTCAGTAAACAAAACCAATACACTCCGGACATAAATCTCCCGTAACGTCCGAAACACTTCAAGTGTCTTAACCGCGTTCTTGTACCTTACATATGTTAGCTAAGAAAGGGTTGAGAGCGCTACCTGTGTTAGGAAGTAAGGGGAGGGGATTTACTCCCCTCATTTGTTTGCGATGACCCCCCTCCCCCCGTTATCTCTTAGCCTCGTATCGTACCTTGTCGTGTGTTACTTCGGTTAACATTGTTTATATGATTTTAAAATATCTTTATAACACAACTTATTAATTTGTCTATTTATAAAAGTAAAAATAGAATCACGAATCACAGCTTACGCTTTTATTGTTGAGGATGGAAAACTTATATTAATTAATGATCTTATTATTATTTAAATTGTAATAAATTGAATCATAATACTTCTAAATCGCATAATATAATGGATGGAGTGGTACAAGAAATATTAGTAAATTAAGAAAATATACGACAAATCACCGTAATTTTAATTTACACAGCTCTGAAGTCACAAAATTATATTTACAAGGAAAACAGCATGTTATTGTCGAAAATTTAACATTTACTATATGAACTTTGTGCCTACGAAATATAACTTACATCATAACATTGGTAAGAAACGGGATTCTTACCACGGTTGAACTGTTTGAGCTCTCGATATTATTTAAGACTCTGGTAAGAATCCCTTTTCATACGGATGTTATTATAGTAAAAACCACGAAAGTTTAAAGTTATATGACTTACATCATTGCCTAAAATAATGTTTATAAATGTGTTTTTATTAATTTGTTTTAACTGGTTCTTCTGTATTATGTGTACTGTGGCGGTGGTCGCGATAGAGCCAATAAAGTAAGTGCTATCTCGGTGTTGGAGCGGGAGGCTGGAGGCTGGAGGCTGCACTGCGACTTCCTGAATTGTATCGCATCGTAAACACAACTCGCTGTAAATTCAAACGTTTTGACTTAAAACGTTAATTGTCGCACACTTTGATAACAATTCCTGAATACAATATGACTACAATACAAACAAAATAATATATCTAAAGAATATAAGTAACTTGGAAATACTTCTGGAGACTTTCTGGACATACCTCCCAACGTCCATCCATCCAAACATTAGCATTTATAATATTAGTAAGATAAGCGAAGTTAAACAGATAAGAGAAACTCTGGTATTGGTTTTGGCGTATCAATTGATAACTTCAATTTTTTATTATCTTTTTAAATATTAATGGTATGCAATTGTGCATTGTAGATTCATTCACAAGTAAACCGTAAACAAGTAGACCGGTGAGAACTGATATTATGGAAAATTCCAAAAATTATCATTTCACTTGGGATATACATAGAGAAGGAACTGCACTAAAGAGAGTAAGCGAACCAAAAGAGGTGGCAGATTTGATTTTATTATTAGCTGGTGATAAAACAAAAGGTGTAACGGGTTCTGAGTACGTTCTAGACAACGGACACTTGTTAAAAAATTGAATAAATTAAACAAATTTACCTAGAATTTTATTTTTATTATAAACTAAGTATGAAATTAAAATAAAATACAAAAATATATTATTTGCAACAAATAAAAGACACCAGAAAATAGATACGAGCGAATATTACTATTAGAATTATACAGTTGTAATCGTTCTAAAAAGGAATTGAGCTCATTCAATGCCATAAATATATGTCACATACAAAATGTGATAGCTGCTGTATGACTTATTGTTTTTATCTTTGAGTTATTCGATAAAAAACATTTCGATCATTGGCTAATATATTTAATTCCTTAATATATTCTTCCTATCGAAATCGAATGACAGATAACTAAAATCATACAGTTAGTTATATTCAATTTCAATTAAATAATTTTAAGTTAATTTCTGTTTCATTTACTTCACCAAGGAACCGTTATCTGAAATAAACACGGATCCAGTGATACCTATGGCTTTATCACTGGCTAGGAACAACATCAGGTCTGCTATCTCCTCGGGTTCACTGACCCTCTTGAGTGCAGTAGTCTGCGCTGCTGCATCCCAGGTCATGATATCCGCTCCCATAGATTCGGCGATGTCCGTGCGCACCGGTCCGGGGCTAATGACGTTCACGCGGACGCCGTACTCCGCCAACTTCAACGCAACTCCACGAGAAAAATGGTTCAACGCAGCCTTCGATGTGCAGTACGAAGACAACAATGACATCCCCAAAGTCGAACTCCCAGCAATACTGGACGTATTGATAATATTACCTTTCGTCTTGATAAGGTGTGGTATCGCAAGATGCGTCAAGTAAACGGCCGCCCGTAAGTTTATATTCATTATGGCGTCGAATTTCTTCATAAAATCGTCACTTGTTATGTCATTCCAATCGGCGACTCCTGCATTGTTTATTAGAACGTCTAGCTTTCCAAAGGTTTTTATAGTTTCATCTATTACTTTCTTCGCCTCTTCGTCCTTTGACACATCAGCTTTGACAACCAGAGGTTTCTTGCCATAACTTTCGCACTTCTCGTTTACTTTTTTCATCTTCTTTTCATTGCGTCCTATCACAACGTGGGCCCCTTCTTTCGCCAATGCGATGGCTGTGGAAGCTCCTATGCCGGAACTGGAGCCCGTTATTATCACAACTTTATTATCAAAACTCATCTTTACTCCTCCGTGGTCCAATCTATTTGGTAGTTGTGTCACTACTGATCTGTTATTTACGTAAATCGTCTATAAATTGCGTTAAATGATGTACAAAATATGAGTCAGCCAGTCATAACCACTTAGAGATAAAATACTATTTACTAATCATATACGATAATAAATGTTACAACAAAATTGTAGAATGAGTATGCATTTTTCTAAGCTAGTGCGTAATTTTATCGACAAAATTATCATATCATTAGTTGGTAACGTGGTCTATGTACCATTAGTTAAATAAACATGTTTGTAATTAATATAAAAACGTGGTGCTCTAAAACTTAACCAATAAAGATGACGCGCCCCAATGCCAGAGTTGAGGTCCTAGCACGAACATTTGTGACAAGCGCCATCTTATTATTATCGACAGAATTTGTATGAAATTGTGTGTACCAGGCGTAAAGTACTCCAAAAATCTCATACTTAATGTGATATAATTATCGATGACGATGCGAAAGCGTATATCGAAAATATTCATGCTAGGCCCAGTTTCTCGTCCGTTACGTTGTGCAACTGTCGTATAGTATCAATGCTGATTTGGCAATAGTAAACATAAAAGTTCATGAAGTGTCAAGCTATTAAAAATTGTGATAATAATTAATAATACTAATAATTATAAACATTTATTAATATATGGATTTAGTCGTGGATCCACACCTTTTGAAGAACAACGTTTTTTGTATGATTTTTTAATTAACATGTGTCGTAATTTGATTATTCAAAGAATCACATGGTCTTGATATTCGATTTAAAGTTTAAGTGTGCTCGTGAGATATAGTCGTGTCCCTCTCTCTCCTCTCTACTAAGTCAGTCAATTTTTAAACCCTTAGCTATTGTGGGTGTTTTAACACCCTTCATCTTCTTCTAGTCTCTTCAGTCTTGAAGGTTGGCCGCTAACTTGGAATAGCTGGTAACACCCTTAGTTATGTTATAATGCAGATGTTTAGATATATGTATGTATGGATGGATGTTTTTAGGTGTCTCCAGAACGGATCATAGTTTGGAAGAACACACGGGCTTCTAATTAAGTTTTCTTTTAATTCCGCGCAAACGGAGTGACGAGCAACAGCTAATCTTAAAAAAAAAGTAGTTTTAAGATAAAAAACAATATATTCATTTATGCATCGTCTGAATACTTTTTTAATCTACAAATACATAATTATTTGCATTACTCTTATCAAACTATAGTATATTAACTGTCTCTGCGACTTCGAACGCGCGCGGTATAAAAAAAAAACCTAATTACTAGCCTATGTGTTCTTCCAGACTATGTTCTACATTTATGCCACATTTCATCGATATGTATACAGCCGTTCTAAATATATCTTGTAACATTCCATCCAAACATTCGCATTTATAATATTAGTAAGATAAGAACATAATATCTATAGATTGCATTAAGCAAAATCAATAAAAGTAATTACGATAAGTGGGTACAAGGTTTCCAGACTAATTTATCAGTAGCAAGGAGGCAGTTTATCGATAGCCTGTTAAAATGTGAACAAACAATAAGACACTTTGATCCATTTGAGTTGCTACGACAATCGGCGCGTGACATCATTTAAAACGATGAAAAAATAAAATAATATCAAATAATATTTTTATGCGTTTCCACTTCTATAGTCCTTGGGACAATAGAGTAGAGGTTGTATAGAAAAAAAATATTAAGCAAAGTTTCAATAAGTCATTATGACCTTTGGGTGAGGCAACTCCGTGAATTATTATCAGAAAAAATGCTGTCTATAAAAATATTGTTGTTAGAAGTGTTTTTTTCTTCATCTTATTAATTTACTATTCAGATTCGATTTTGAAAAGGTCAAACTACAAAACATTATTAAATTGAATAATAAACAAGTATAATATAAAAAAATCCAATTCCTACTTCCTACTAGAGTTGGATTTTACAACGTTGTTCTACTAGGCAAATCTTTTTATCTTTAATTTTGATGTCGGGGCACTTGTACAAAAATGTGTCATCCGCTATTTTGTGACGGCGCGGCGTCCACTTTTTATTATAACAGAAGGGGGCAAACGAGCAGCGGGAACACCGAGGTGTTCAACGTGGCCCATGGGCATCAGCAATATCAGAGGTACCGCAGATGCGTTGCCGGCCTTTGGAATGGTGATACGCTCGCTTCTTAAAGGACTTTAAGTCGTAGCGGTTTGGAAATACCGCCGAGGACAGACGTATCTACTTTTTATTTTTATAATATATCATAATGTAATCGTCATCTCATTTCCAATTAAATGAATAGATGAGGATTGTATCAGACTGGGGCGCGGAAGAGAGCGAAAGCGTGCCCGTGGTCCCGTCCCGATGCGTTGGAGGAACAGAGGGGTTTAGTGGGTATGCCTCCGCTATGGAGGACAATCCCACATAACTACCGCGTCCCCCCCGGGGCGCGGAGTATGCATAAAGCATTCCCCTCTGAAAAAAAAAATAGATGTGAATTGTATAATGCAACAAAAGAAAACAACAGTTTATGGTCAGTAATTTATTGTATATTTTACATATAAAATTTTACAATCGAGATATTTAGCAATTGGTTGTGATTTAGATAATACTTGTATATCATATCAACGTTATCTATTTAAGTAACTTCTGTTATACTTGTCCCTTAATTTTTCACTAAAATACCATTATCTGAAACAAATTCAGATCCAGTGATGCCTCTCGCTCTGTCGCTGGCCAAGAACAAGATTAAATCAGCAATTTCTTCAGGCTCACTGTATCTCTTTAGAGGCGTAGTCTCTTTGAAGGTGTCCCAATTGAAATTAGGAATGGATAGATTGTCTAGAATATCAGTGCGTACCGGTCCTGGACTGATGATATTCACACGGACGCCATGTCCAGATAATTTCAACGCGACGCCCCGAGAAAAATGATTAAGTGCAGCCTTCGATGTACAATATGCAGTAAGTGCGGTGGAACCTGCATTTGTAGAGCCAGCTATGCTCGATATGTTGATTATATTTCCTTTTGTTTTGATCAGATGTGGTGCAGCTAAATGCGTTATATACACCGCTGCACGTAAATTTATGTTCATCACACGATCGAAACTTATCATAAAACTATCACTTGTTATCTCATCTTGTTCCGCAATACCTGCGTTGTTGATCAGAATGTCTAATTTAGCAAATTTATTTATAGTTTCGTCTATCATTCTCTTAGCGTCGACATCATTTGATACGTCCGCTTTAATGACCAGTGGTTTCTTACCAAAACTTTCACATTTTTTGCTTACATTTTTCATTTTCTCTTCATTGCGTCCCACTATAACGACATTAGCGCCCTCTTTAGCAAACGCGATTGCCGCCGCGGCCCCAATACCGGAACTGGACCCGGTTACAATCACCACTTTGTTATTGAAACTCATTTTGTTGCGAGGTGCGCACTTATCAGCTTTGTTTTTAATACTGAGCTCATAAATGGCAAATCAACTATTATAAACAGCTAAATAATTGCGTAACTTAATAGAGTATAATCGGGAAATACGGGTATGCTAACTTTAGCTTTTAAAAAACATTACTTATCAATTTCAACAACCATTTTCAAAACTTCTTTCTGCTCATGTGTTGTCAAGAGTTCTTCTTTTTTTAAAAAAATCAATTTAATAAATGCCTTTTTTTTAAATAATAGTTGTATAGATTTATCATCATTTTAATAAAAAAAAAGTAATCTATTTATCAGAACCGATTACATAGCTACCGCACTGATTATGGATGATAATCGCAAAGGTTGGCGCTTCTGATAAAATTATTTTTTTTCTCTTTCTAACATACTCCACCAATGAATGTAAATATTTTGCCCGATATCTCCGTTTTGCCTGTCCGTACTCCTAACAAATATTGGCTCATCATTCTCGTAATTATATAGCAGAAGCACACTGGGTACTATTTTATTGTTACTTATGATTTACCAGTTTTTATAACTGTTTAAAATGAGTAGTTTTTTGTTATGAATAAATTACAAGTACTGAGAGGAACATTAATACATAAATACTGTATATTGCTTTTATTATTCAACGTTTTTTTCAAACTAACGTCATCTGATACAATGTTATATTAATAACAAAAATGAATAAATATGAAACTCAACAGATATAAATTACAATTAAGTAGAAATTTTGTTTTTATATTTAGCAATCAAAGCGCCTGCCGTAAATGCAATAGCAATCAAAAATGGTCGACAGAATAAATTATAGAATTACTTGGACATTCTCTAACAAAACTCTATTACAAAATCAAGAAGTAGTGTCTCTTAAGAAAGAGACAATAATATAAACGGACAAAAGCAACCAACTTATTCTAAAGTGGCGAAATACTTAATAGTTTAACCTAACCTCAATCACAACATATATGCGACAATCGCGACAATAACGTAACGCTTCACGACGCTTACATGTTAAAAAAATATTCTCCGGTTTAGTTAGTATCTATTTATAGACTTCTTGATGTCCTTGAAACAGCGTAAATAATCGCCAATCGACTCTGATAATTTATTTTAGAACATATAATGTGTTCATTAAAACAGCGCGAGTTCATTTAAATTTTTTATTATAATCTTGCAAACGCGTTCAATGAATTAAAAGTATACGAACAATAATCACATTTATTTGACTTACTTTATTGTACAAGTAAAGAACCGTTATCTGATACGAATTCGGATCCCGTGATACCTTTTGCTTTATCGCTAGCTAAGAATAGGATCAGATCAGCGATCTCTTGAGGTTCACCGACACGTTTTAAAGGAGTAGATTCTGCAAAGCTATCCCAATTTATAGACCCTGATGAATTGTCCAAAATATCAGTGCGCACCGGCCCCGGGCTGACGATGTTAACACGGACGCCGTTCTCGGCAAGTTTTAGTGCGACGCCACGAGAAAAATGATTCAGTCCAGCCTTAGATATATAATATGATAAAATAGTTGAAGCAAGAGATGTGGAAGTTGCAGCTATGCTTGATATGTTGACAATATTCCCTTTAGTTGTAATAAGATGTGGTATCGCCAAATGTGTTAAGTAAACTGGAGCTCGTAAGTTTATGTTCATAACGCGATCGTATCCATCCATGAAATTGTCACTTGTAATATCGTTGGGTACAAACATACCGGCATTGTTAACTAACACATCCAGTTTCCCAAATCTATTTATCGTTGCATCTATTATATTCTTAGCTTCATCGTCTTTTGATACGTCTGCTTTAACAACCAGTGGTTTCTTCCCAAAACTTTCACATTTATCGCTTACATTTTTCATTTTCTCTTCATTGCGTCCCACTATTACGACATTAGCGCCCTCTTTAGCAAACGCGAGTGCCGCCGCGGCCCCGATACCGGAGCTGGACCCGGTCACAATCACCACTTTGTTAACGAAACTCATTTTCAACTCGTGTAATATTCACCTCTATGCCTAAATATACTGTCGTAATATCTGTTGGCACAGAATTATATACTTTATGTAAATGTGCGTGTGCGTATATTTCGTAATTTTTTGCTTGTCATTCAGATAAAGTAATTGATAGCGATAAGTGTATACAAGTACAAAGTGTTTTGTCGGATGATTCTATTTATTTTATTAATTATTGTTGATTATTAAGAGGAATAAAACCCGTACAAGTCCTTGGATAACTATTATTACTACCTATTTATAAGCACTAAGATTAATCAACATGACCTGGAATAGTTTTTTTAGTTACCATAAAACAGGTTGTGTAAACTAAAAACAGCACGGCAGCCTAAAATACTGTTAATAAGTTGTTAAATCCTTATTATAAACTAAATAAAACTTTAAATTAACGTTCCATTAAACTCTATTCACGACTACATTTCATTATTACTCGATTTCCCGCGCGATTATACTTTTTTATATTTTTCTATAACTAAAAAGGCAAAGGTCTTAGTGGCCAGTATGCCACCTTTTTGGCAGAACGCAAACTCCTTGTCTACCAAAGAGATGGGATGCATAATTCACTCAACACGTTGCTACAAAATGCTTAGCACACATAGATTATAAACTTTTTTTGGAGTCGTTCACTGTGCCCGTCCGTCGTGTAGCAAAGATCGATTATTCAGCTTAATTTCTACTCTTACGCCGCTCCTCCGATAAATTCAGCGTCCCTGACACTTTGAGTTATTTAGGAGTGCACTGGTATTTCCTTGTACAGACGACAAAAACACCTAATAGTTGAACGCTAGAATAATGTCTCTTCTAAACTAAAGCAGAAGAATTAAAAAAAAATCATATTTAAAAGTTAAATAAAATAGGTTGTCATTTTCTGTTTTATAAAATGAGTCAATTTATTTTATATATAAAAGACAGTGGAAAAGAGACTCACTTCGGGGTGTTTTTCACTATATATGTTTAAAACCATGACCATTTGACACCTTGAACCACTGATATATGGTCAATTTGACCATGTCGATCTCCATTTCTTCAACTCTAAGTAAGAAGCTGAACTGAACTGAATTACAAAGCGCGTTGCTCACACAACATTAATCTAGCACATATTAGTCGGTAACGCATTTAGTCGTTAATTCCGTTCTGGGTATTGAATGGCCGGCCGCGGCGCGGATCACGGCTTTGTCTTGAGACGCTCGCACAATGGACGCATTATGTCTTATTGTTGCGTCGCCTGACAGTGCCCCCGTGCCCCCCGCCCCGTGCCCCCTGACCGACAGCACACATTCATTCCATTATGATCATGAATAACACGCGGATGTAGGACATACGAACGTAAAGATTGAAAAACAGATTCTTAAATGTAAATTAAAATATTCCGTTAAAATATTGAATCTATCACTCCTATTAACTAAATTAAAATAGAGAAAGCAATGAATGAAATGTGCTAATTAAATTCCTCTAAATCTTTTCTCTGTTGTTGTTTAATAACGGTATTTACTAAGAATTATTTGTGACTTTTCATACTACTCCTACCGGTTTATGTAAGCTACAGTTCCATCGTTAAAAGTGGTCTAGTTGTTCCTAAGGTCTTTGAGAAAAGTTTGGCTGAGCTTTCTCGCGCTCAGTCAAATTGAAGGCAGTGTGTCACAAGCTCAATTCGACAATTAAGATTCCTTGGTTCATTGTAATTACACCTATGCGGGTTTCTTAATGAAGTTAAAGGGAATTAATTATTTTAGGGGGGCATAAATTTAATCTGCGCCGGCCTTTACTTGTGACGTTATGGTCTTAACTTGATTAACGCTGTTATCTTTGTTCTAAAATCTCAGGTTTGTTTCATAAAGGTCCGCTTTTCAATTTATTTATAAACTATGTTATTACATAATAATATAAGGTTTATGACGTCATTGGGATGACAATTTAATTAAAGTTATTCGAACTGTAGCGACCGACAGAGAAATACACTCGATAGCTGCACGTTCCACTGAAAAAATCATTTTCATTACCTTAACAAAACAAAATGAATGCAGTTAAACCAACCTTATTAGAAAAAACTTTATCGGTAAGCGGCATGAAAAAACCAACCATCTATGTTATTTGAAAATTATAACAATCTAATCTATTAAACCTTATAGTACTGGCAATAAAGTTTGAAATAGAGCAGCGGTGTTTTAACGTAGGCGATGAGTTAAAATTGTAGGTTTATAGTTAATATTGACTCGTCGACATTTCGTCGGGAACTTTTCTCATTTGGAAGCCAGTCAAACTGAAACTCGAACGCTTAGTGGAGTACCGTCCTCCTACTCCGTCTAGCGCTTTGTATTAGATATTGTTCACTGCGTTAACAACAGAAAAATAATAATACACTTTTATATAAAGTTAGTTTATTGCGAACTAGATTAATTTATAAAAAAATAACTGAAAGTTGGTTAGCTGTTATTATTTAACCAATGCTACCCAACAAGGAATGGAATCCAACAATGCTTGCTACCCAACAAGGAATGCAATCCGAAAATGGAACCCAACATGGAATCTGTAGTACCAGAAGTGCTGAAAGCCCTTCTAGATTATTCTACGAAAGGTCAATAGTGATGACGTTAGTGAAGTGCAAAATTCGATGAAGTGACTACATACTAGAATTTAGCGAATAATTAAAAGAAATCCAAAAATTACTTAATTTTTCAATCAATAAATATATCACGCAAATGAGAATAACTTTCAAAAGAGGTTTTATTTTGATAGTGACAGGATGGGAGTACATTTGCTCCGCTCCCTCCCCTGTACCCCTCCCGGACGGAGCGCATTTCTCTCAGTTTGCGCGGGAAGTAACAAACGGCCGCGTCCGTGCGGTTGATTTTTATTCATTTGGTCCGCGCCTCAGTCTGCGAGACATATTGGCCGTTGCCTTGGACGGGGAAATTGCATTTCGCCCCTTAATAATTCGTTTTCACGCAATGACAATGCTTTTATGGGCACAGCACTGCGGATAGTGACAACACGTTCTTATATTTTACGGACAACGCCAAACGCCAGTCTTTTGTTTTCCTTTTAAATAATTTTCTGTAGTTTCGTTAAGTGACTATGAGTTTTTGAGAAACACCCCGTTTAGAACATATTGGTATCTCTGTTTTGTCAAAGATGATGAGAGGGAAGACGATATGTTTTATACAGAGGTTTTGGGTCTCGGTACGCAATGGTTGATTTAACGAATAAACATCTTAAAGCAATAAAAGCAGTCAATGTTAGGGTGTTGGAAAGTATCCTCTTAACATTTCTTAATATTGTAAAGCATATTCGGGCAGTGCGCTGTCTCCCCTCGCCGTTCGAAATAACCCTAACAATATTTCCTGCTATTGAATAGAATTTGATGTAAAATTGTTGAACATCGTGACCTCCCTGAGGGTTGTGTTTGGAAAACATATTTTCTCTTGTTCGATTTGGACATGACATAAAAAGGGGTGTTATTGGTTGAATCGTTTTGAATGATTTGAGTTTTATAAATACAATATCAATTTTTGAAAAAGACCCATGTAAATATAGGTTTAAAAAAAACTTACGTTTGAAACCAAAAAGAAAGAAGTAAATTTATAATAATAATGTGTAAATTGTAAAATGCGTGATGTTTTATATACCAGCATTTGCTCTCACACGTGATTAAAAATGGCGTCTGATGCTATATAATAAATTTCAGACTCTTTATTTTGTGTTGTTTTCAAAAAAGAGATATTGTCGTATTTCCCTGTGCGCTCGTAAAGTATCCTGATGCGGTGCCGACCGAATACAATATGCATACTCGATATTGTTTCTTTGCATTTTAAATGGCGCGTAAATACGTTCGCTTTCCCGCCCAAATGTCACCTATCTGTCAAACCATAAGACTGATATTTGCGGGTAAGTTTTTTTGGAGTTTTCGTAGTTGATATGCGTGGGGTTGAAATTTATTAACAAAACAGTTTATTATTCAAACTGATTTTGAAGCGAAGGAAGTAAAATATAAGAGAGGATTATTTTCTTTGATACGTATTATATATTAGAAAGATTAGTGGATATTAGGAATTATTCAAGTGTTTTCAAATTGTGGCAGAATATGGCAATATTTTTTTTTCAAATTATTATATATTATTAGGTTACGATGACTCAAACATTTAGTTTTGATAGATATCACGGATTTTCTAATAAGCTCCATTAAATGTAAATATGTAATTATAATTTGGATGCAACAGTTATTCTTTGTGCATCTGTATCCCGTGAGAATATTCGTCGTACTAAAATATTAGCAGGAAATGAGAACACTGTGGTGAGGCAAAAGGAAAAGAAAAGCTGTAACTCGACACATGAAACTTGAACCCTAACTTTGGCCAATAAAACAACTAGATTCAGTCGCAGAATTATGTCTTTCTAGATGTGATGACTTTATGATTTACAAATCATGAATCTTATAGAATTTTATGAAACTGATAATATATGGAAGTGGACGTTTGTCGTTTGTTTTTTTAGATAGATTCGATATTGTCCGCTTAAATAATTAATCTTAACTTACTTTTTTAAACGTACTTATTGAAAAATATGTAACCGATGTGACCAACTCATCACTCTTTTAGTTTATCTTTTATCCTGTGAAGACTGTATTATAAAATAAGGATAAATCGATCAGACAAATAGATGCAGGATTTAATTCAATTAAAAAGTTTGACTTTATGTTTTCAAGTAACAAATACAAAATATATTTCAAATAGCAATGTATTTTAGAGTTTCCATCTTTGTGGTATTTCTAAAAGAGTTTTTTTACATTCGTTTCGGAAATAAAACTGCCACTTCAAACCGTCCGACATGGCTGATTCTCTTTGGAGTCCTCGCTTCCCACAAGGTATTATCAACTTCCAAAAGAATATTTATTTGTTTGTCTGTGTTACATAAATTATTCGGTAGAAATATAGACATTTTACTTAACAATCACATAAGTAAAATACGTATACGTATAGTTATTTGGTAGCTTAAATTATACTCTAGTTTATATGATTTATTATCACTTATTTAAAATTCGATAGTTTATTTTTTAATTAAATTGCATTTCTAAGATATAAGTATACGAATTATTATATTTGATTTGGTAGATCAGAAACTAGAATTCAATTGATTAATTATATTTATGTAAGATATTAAACGAATACATCGCAATTAGAAATTGTTTAACTTATGTATCATTTTGGTAGTACAAAAGCGCAGACAACGCCGTGCGGCGAGCGTAGCTGCACCGAACTAAAATCGAGATGCTCTCGCTTGTATAATTACGCCGAAAATTTTGGGATACACTCGAGTGGCGGATGCTCGAGTGTTGCCATATTCAAAAATTTCAATACAACCAACGCTGAGTGGGGGTTTTTCTATGTGACACACGGTCAATAATGTTGCCGAACAAAATATCACTTGGGATAATATTGTAATTTTTTTCTAACATAATTATTAACAGTACATTAAGTTAGACAACGAATTTATATATAAAAGTTTATACTAATATTGTCTTTCATCATAAGCTTTATATTTTTTTATTGCAGTTAAAAGCACAATTTTTGACATGTCTACACAATTTAGTAAAAGCGACAGATGAATTAGGATCTCGTTGAAGTCAAGTCATGAGACAAATACGGAATGATGATGTTGTTTATCTTCGTTTGAGCATGCAAGGCTACTGCCGACGAAGCCATTGTTGAACAAAAATCTTAAGTCAAAAGTTCGCCATGTTATGCGTCAGTGTGTCTCGCGTATTATCTGAGTCAGGGGGGTCGCCGGGGGAGGGTATATCAAAAGATTCCTCATCAAAAATGAACGACCGATGTCGAGATGTGAGTGCCCGAGTACCAGAGGACTCGTATTTTTAACCTGCGTATGGCTTGGATTATTTTTCAATGAAGCTTGCTGCCGTCGCGAATTGGGATGTTTTGAAAAGAGTTTCGCTTCGCCGCTGAAATTTGTGCATTTCTTTAGTGTTTACGTGTCTGTTAAATGTTTGTTTATTTCTAACTGTATTGTTTTTAGTAAAATTGAATATTTCAACTATTCATATGAACATAAAATTGTTGCGATCAAAACTAACTAATCACGTTATACTTTCAACAAAATGCTACGTATTCTATTACTGAAATTAAAAAAAAATCGTCCATTGTCATGTCGTGAGATAAGGTACATTTTATTATAACAAATCCCTACATTTTGCCGCACCTTTTAAATGTAATATGATTTCAAGAAATGACCATGACTTAGTGTTTGTTAATAGTTAGTTTCTGTTACTGTTAATTGATTAAAAAGGGTTAAAGTTGTCACGTCATGACGTCACGTTGATCACGCGAACCTATGATGTGATCGGATAAATTATATCGTTGCTTAATTTATTATTAAAAGATTATAATTATTTAATAAGCCATTATTTCCACTAAAGGAGAGCTGGGATGCATTACTTCCTTATTTATATTTGGTATAACTTTTTTCAAATATCTTGGCGTCAAGGTAATGCGCTGCGCAGGCCCAGCTATACATCAACAATTGTGTTCTGCGCAGTGACTCGCGCGAAGTTGGAGCTGTCAAGACATCTTGAAACATTTATATAGCATATAGTGTATTTTTTTCCTTATATTTTCTTTAACCACCAAGTACGGAGTATTTCTTACCTTACACATTGTATTTTAATTTATAAAGTGAGTTATCTACATAATACAAACTGTGTTATTTTATCTTTTACATTTATTTTTTTTCGTTGTAAATAACATAATTTTGCGAACATAGTGATTGCTTCCCCTAATCCAAACACCACACCTCATTCGTCCATTAACAATTCTCTTGCCGAAAACTCGATCGTTAAATCAAATTAAGTTGATGTCGCTGGAACCGAAATTCCCGATGCGTTAATTGACCGCGAGCACGCCACGCCACAGTGCTACCAACTGCCGACCATGCTGATATAAGCACTCGTTAAACACATTTGTATTTTTATGTTGGTACGAATACTTATGTTGATTTTATACGACTCATTACAGACGTGTAATTACTATTTTTATCGATTTCTGTAATTGAAAACAATGACATGAATCACATTTATAGGCTATTATTGAGTCGTCCCTTGAGTCAACCCAAAGCTGTATATGCCACCACCTATAAAGAAGATAACTATGCTTAATTGTATTGATCTGGAAATAGACTATTTCGTTCTTAGAGTTGGAACTTAATAAGAACCAGATTGCACAGAGCGTCATTTTAACATTGGAAGTCAATTTTCCAAGTTTTATTTGGATTTAACATATATTGTTTCCTTAGTTTCTTGTCGCATGCAAAGCTGTAACGAATAATAAAATAATTCAAATACATATGAACATATATCAAATAATAATTAAGGTCAACAAAGAGTCACGCCCGCGCATAAATCATTCGGGCGAAGCAATCGCGTCTAATACGTCTAGTCGCCGTTCGCCGTTCGCCGGAATCCGCGCCCAAATAATGCCTCGAACAGAACATATTTTATTAATTACCGCGCCGCTATCACGAAATATTACCTTTATGTCCCATATTTGCATATCGTGCTCTATACGAACAGGGCGCGCCGGTGGCATGCGATGGCACGACACAA